TATAGATGCATATATATATATATAGATGTATATATATATATGTATATATATATATATATATATATATAGATGTATATATATAGATCTATGCTTATGAGTAAATGCTGGGTATATACAGTACGTACACTATATATATATGTATACAGATATATATATGTACATAAATGCACATACGTGCATATACAAACAAATAAATAAACATAAATAAATACAAATAAATAAAACAGCAGTAAATACTATTTAAAAATAAACAAACAAATAATGCATCGATAAATACGCATATATATATATATATATATATGTATGTTATATGTATATGAATATGTGTATATTTATACTTGTTTTTATATTTGTTTATCTGTTTATTTATTTATATACAAGTATAAAATATACAAAGAACATGAGCAAACAAATAAATAAACAAATAAGCAAATATAAATACAAGTATAAATATACACATATTCATATACATACAACATGCATATATATATATATATATATTTATTTATTTATTTTTATATACAGTCTTTGTCTGCGTCTATATCCACATAACAAACAACACAAACAAATAAACAAATAAATAAAGAAGCAAAAACATCTAAGTACATAAAAGCATAGAAATATATAAATATATATAAATGCATATACATATAAACACATACATATATATAAATATACATATACATATAACTATATACATATATATATATATATAAATATATATATAAATGCATATACATATAAACATATACATATATATAAATATACATATACATATAACTATATACATATATATAAATATACACACTCATATATATATATTTATATTTATATATATATACATTTATATACATATATATACGTACTTTGTCTGCATCAATATCAAGAAAGAGAGCCTTAATAGTAGGTGCATCAAGTTTAATAGAAATGTAAGCACCATCAGGGGTGTAAACTTCTTTGATATAAGAGCAGCAGTCTTTCAAGGCTGTCTTCTCTATTTTATTTTTAATTAAAACTGCGTAATTATAATCTGTGTCGTTTAATAACGGCACTTCAATTATAGGCGTCTGAATCTTAGGCGCTGCATTTATTATTTCTTTTATACGAGGTACACCCAGCGTAACGTTCATCGAAGCAACGCCTATAAACAAACAGCAAAATATATTTATTTATTTATTTATTTGTTTGTTTATTTGTTTGTTTGTTTGTTTGTTTATTTATTAATTTGCTTATTTGTTTATTTGTTTATTTGTTTATCTGTTTGTTTATTTACTTTTTATTATCTTCATTCTTTATCTTTATATGTATACATATATATATATATATACAGTATATTGTTTATTTATATTTATATATAGATATGTATATATATACAGTGTTTATTCATATACAGTAACAGTTATCTTGTTTTATTTATACACAGCAACATATTTATTTATTTATTATTATTTTTTATTTTTATTTTGTTTATATGCAGCAGCAGATATAACCTGTCTCTGTCTGTCTCTCTGTCTCTGTCTCTGTCTCTCTCTCTCTCTGTCTCTCTCTGTCTCTCTCTCTCTCTGTCTCTCTGTCTCTCTATCTCTCTCTCTATCTGTCTATCTCTCTCTCTCTCTGTCGCTCTCTCTCTCTCTCTCTCTGTCGCTCTCTCTCTCTCTCTCTCTCTCTCTCTCTATCTATCTATCTATCTATCTCTCTCTCTGTCTCTCTCTATCTCTCTATCTGTCTCTATCTATCTCTCTCTGCCTATCTATCTCTCTCTCTATCTATCTATCTATCTATCTATCTATCTATCTATCTATCTATCTATCTATCTATCTATCTATCTATCTATATATATATATATATCTATCTATCTATCTATCTATCTGTCTCTGTGTCAGTCTGCTCACCAGCGAAGTGAAAAGTTTTCAAAGTCATTTGAGTGCCGGGTTCTCCGATGGATTGAGCGCCCATCGCTCCGACAGCTTCACCCGGTTCAGCGACAGCTCTTCTATATTTTCTGTCTGTACACCTCAAGAACTCAAATATATGACGAACTGTTAGCCAGTGATGACGACTGTATTTACATAAATAACCTTCATCTCCATGTACACCCCGACATTCTAATGCTCCTGCTGCTCCTGCTGCTCCTGCTGCTGCTGCTCCTGCTGCTCCTGTTGCTGTTGCTGCTGCTGCTGCTGCTCCTGTTGCTGTTGCTCCCACTGTTGCTGCTGCTGTTGTTGTTGCTGTTGTTGTTTCTCCTGTGGTTGAAGAAATTTGCATGCACTCGTGCTTCAAAACAGAAGAAGTTAAAGAAGCCGCTTCTTTAACTGCTTCGTGCCTCTGGGAGCCTCCTATAAAGTTAATATTTGTCTCATGAAGCAGCCAGCAGCGTCTATAAATAGTATATCCCGTCTGTCTCCAACATGTAATTAATTTGTTGTAGTCTGCTGCATCAAATGCAGGTAGTTGTCGTGAAAATAACCTATAATCTTCAACTTGTTTTGCTTTATTCGTCAACCACTCTAATAATTCTTGTTTAAATATTCGGACATGCTCTGTCTCGCATTGATGAGTTGGAGACTCTTCTAGTGCAACTTTCTGGTGTCTGTACAGCTGTTGTGCTGAAGCTTCATTCAATAATTTTAATAAAAAGTCGGACCAAGCTAATATTTCAAAGGGTAATAGCGGCATATTCTTTTTACATGCAGACGTATATTCATACACCGCAAAGTATCCGAATAGATAATTTTGTGCTTGACGCGCTAACGGATCTGCACAATACAAATCCCCAAACGCCTGCTGCTGCTGCTGCTGCTGCTGCTGCTGCTGCTGCTGCTGCTGCTGCTGTTGCTGTTGCTGCTGGTAGTGACGCCGTTGCTGCTACCACTGCTGATGCAGATCTCGCCTTTGGTGCTGCTACTGCTGCAGCTACTTATACCGTTGCTGCTGCTGCTGCTGCTGCAACTAATACCGTTGTTGTTGCTGTTGTTGTTGCTGCTGCTGTTGCTGCTGTTGTTGTTGGTTTGTATTAGATCTTTTCTAGTGATTCTATCCGGCAGAAAGGGTATTCGAATCATAGCAGAGATATGAAAGAAAACTTTGTTTAAATCCGCAGGTCTTGTCCCTGCCTCCATCATCAAAGGGCTTAATCCGTCGTCTCCGTACACAAACTGCACAATCTGTCCTTCACTTGTGCGTACAGTGTAATCGTACTTTACTGCTAAGTCTTCTAATGCCTGTACACAAACATATTATCATTAATAATATATATATATGTGTATATATGTATATATATATATATATATGTATATATGTATATATACATATATGTATATATGTATATATGTATATATGTATATATGTGTATATGTTTGTCTGGTTGTTTATTTAGGGTTTTTAAATATAGTTTATTTGCTGCGTGCATTAGCAGTGGTTTACTTTCATGAGTCTTCTTTGCATGTATCATGTTTAAAGGTTTAGAGTTTAGGGCTTGTGTATCATGTTTAAGGGTTTAGGGTTTAGGGTGCGTGCATCTTGTTTAGGGTTTAGGGTTTAGGGGGCATGTATCCCGTTACAGTGTCTAAACCCTTTGGTGTTTAGGGTTTAGGGTTTGGGGTTTAAAGTTCTAGGGTTAGTTTAGGGTTTAGAGTGCATGTATCCCGTTGAAGTGTCTAAACCCTTTAGGGTTTAGGGTTTAGGGTTTAGGGTTTAGGGTTTGGGGTGTATATACCTTCATGAGTCTTCTTTGCATGTAACCCGTTTCTGCAGTTTTGACAGCAGTATCAACGAGGCCTTCTCTACCGGACATAGTATGAAAGAAGAACTCATCAGGATGAAGACCGCTATAAAAAGAGTTTGCTACAAACCCTCTGCTTCTAGCATCTTTACAGAAGGCAGGGAAGTGAGGTAATGTTCGAGAAACAAAACCGTTATTAATTCTCTGACCGGAAACATTTTGCTGTCCTACGCATGCAATCATCTGCGCAATATTAATAAGAGCACCCTTTGCTCCGGATTGAAACATTAGTAATGGCTTATTAAGAGGTTTTAATATATTATTACATATTTTACCTGCTTCATTTCTTAGATCATCAAGAATACGTTTAACTCTTACTTCTAATGTCTCATTCAATGTACACCCTGGATTAGGTTTTATTAAGCCTTTCTTATATAGTTCTATTTCTTTATCTACAGCTTTATACCCTTCGTTTAAAAGCTCTTGCTTTGCTTTTAATAAACTTCTACTCGGTGCTACATCTTCTAGTCCTATTGTAAACCCAAACGATGAAAACCAGCGAGAACATAGACGAGCTACTCTACTCATGCATGCAGCTGCTAAGCTCTCCGTGTTGTCTCTAATCAAATGAAAGAATAAACCGTCCTTTGAATCCTGCATGCAAACATAAACAATTTTATATATATATAATATATAATATATATATATCATATATAAATATTATTTATTATATATATTATTTATAATATATATATGCATAATAAATATATACATATTATATACATATAATGTATATGTGTATAATATATATATAATATATATAGTATTATATATATTGCATATATAATAGATATATATTATACACTATATTATATTATATATAATAGAAGAAGTAGTCAAAGAAGTAATATTCATGCGTATTTGCATGCAAATACAAATATATAATATATATATATATACTATATATAATATATAGTGTAGTTATAAAAAATTAAGATTAATGCTTATTTGCATGCAAACAAAACAAAACAAAACAAGTTATTATGAGTGTTTGCATGCAAATAACTTAAAGACAAACACCCTAAACCCTAAACAATATACACTTAAACAAGCAAACAAAACAAATAAAAAAACAAGCAAATAAACAAATAAACATATTGCCTCCCTATGGTAGGCAATAGTAGCTACAGCAGCAAATGCAGCAGCAGCAGAAGCAGCAGCAGCAGCAGGTGCTGCTGCTGCACACAAAGAGATAAGCATAGACAAACACAATAAAATAAACACAAAGGCATTAACACCTCCTACAAACAAAGACAGACAAAGGCATAAAAAGTAATTAAGACATGCATAAAAACAAACAACAACAAAAATGAGACTCGTTCATACACCTGCGGGTTTTATCATCAGCATGCGAATACAATAAGAGATATCACGAAGAAGATATAAAAAATAAATAATAATAAATAATAGCAATAATAATAATATAATTATAATAATTATCATTATTATAAGAAGCAAAAAAAATAATAATACATGATAAAAATAACATAATAATAACAATGTAATAACAATTATTAATAATATTGTTAACATTATTGTTATTATTATTAATATTATTATTATTATTACTACTACTATTATTATTATTTGATATTATTATTAATATTATTATTAATAATACTATTATTAATATCATTAATAATAATAATAATATTATTATTAATATT